GCGCGGCTCCGCTCCAGATCGGGCTGGAAGCTGACGGCTCAGGAGCAGGAGCCCAGCGCGCTCCTCCGGTATCGTTTCACCAGTCCCCGTCCCCGCCCCCCATCCCCCTTCGAGACCCCCAGGCCACGCCGGCTGGGGATGGGGGGTCGGTTAGACGATACGGACTCCTGCCGCGTGGCCGACGGGGGAGCGCACGGCGAATCAACGGGGACGCGGCCGGCGGCCACGGCGAGGCGCAACCGCGCGGACGGCGTTCGCGCGGGGTGCGGGCCGCGCCCGAGGGGTGCGTTCGGACCGCGCGCGCGGCAGCGGCTGTCAGGATCTGTCGACAGCCCACTATCAGCATCAACAATTGCCGATGGCATGTTCTATCGGCGGTGGGACCGAAACCGACGGACCTGGACCTGCAAAAATGACGGCCGCGACGCCCTCTCGCGAACCGAAAACGGCCAATTCACGAATCGGCGTGTCAGGGTAGGAGGCCTGTCCACCCCCGATTCTAGAATGATGGAGGTGCACTGCTGCGTACGATCAGAGTCGAAGCAGGCAGGCATGGAAAAATCGAAGCACTCAAGGACTGAAGACTGCTACTTTGGGAAGGAAAATGAGAGATTGGAAAATTAAACTATGACCTATGTTGCTTGTGTTTTTCCTACGGACGCGAGGGGGGGGGCGGAGAGGGGGGAAGGGGGGGAGTGGAGGAGGAAAAGGCAGGGGAGGGAGGGAGGGAGTCAGCCCAAGATCCGGGAGGGTCGCCAAAAGGGTCAAAGTAGTCAAGAAGAAGAACATGAAAATGATCCTCACGAATTGGATGGCGGCGCCTAACACTACCCTGGGCATGGTCGGAGGCGGGGTCGGCATCAGGGTTAGCGCGGGGTTCAGCGTTGGGGGCAGCGACGGGAGTAAGGAGAGCAGCGCTGGGGTCGGCGTCGGGCACTGCGCCAGAAGGAGAGCGAGACGGGGGGGGGGGGGGGCGCCCGGAGAGGGGTCCGTTGCGAGAGTACGGAAAGGACAGGGCGTCGGGCAGGGCGCCGGGATGGCCCTCGGGTACGCTGGGCCGCTCAGCGCGCCCTCAGCAGTCTCAGTCTCCGTCGAGCGAGGGCGGCCCTCATCCTGGACACAGAGATGGAAAGCATCGATGGGCACCGAGGTTGCTCCAGATTTCGTCATAAGGGGAGGGGGGTCTCATTTCGGGGGGGGTCTGGCCTGGGGGGTCCGGGGACGATGTTTTGGAGGGTTCTCCCACGGGGGAGGTCTGAAATGGCTTGTCTTGGAGGGTCCAGACCCCCTCCCTTGTTAGGAGGGCACCAACTATACACCAACACCGATCCTGGCCAGGATCACCCTGGGCCCAGGATCGGTGTATACGCCCTCCTGCCCTGCGCAAGAAGGCATATACACCGATCCTGGGCCCAGGGTGATCCTGGGCCAGGATCGGTGTTGGTGTATAGTTGGTGACCCCCTCCCTTGTATTACGAAATTTGGAGTGGGCGTCGATCGCCGAGTCGGGCTGGCGTTCGGGCCGAGCGCCGGGCGGTGCGAGGAGGGATCCAGGCGATCCAGAGCTCGGCCCGCGGCAGGCCCGGGGCGGCCGACGGAGCTCGCTCCCGCGCTCCCCGCTCGCGGGGCGGGGAAGGGATACTCCAAATTTCGTAATAAAAGGGAGGGGGTCTGGACCCTCCAAGACAAGCCATTTCAGACCTCCCCCGTGGGAGAACCCTCCAAAACATCGTCCCCAGACCCCCCAGACCCTCCAAGATAGCCTGGAAGAGACCCCCCCCGAAATGAGACCCCCCTCCCTTTATTACGAAATCTGAAGAGCTCGGCGCCGTCGGGGGCCTGGAGAAGCCAGCCGACGTCGCTGATGCGCTGCAGGAGCCCTGGGAAAGCCTCAGCAGAAACGGCCCTAGCTCCCCTGTGCCCGATGTGGTCATCAGCCTCCTTGCCCATGGTGTCCCGGAGGTAGAAGCGCCACAGAAGCATGGCAGGTCGGATGCGACGTCCCAAGACACTCGGCTGGATGCGTGGGCCCAGGAGGTCTGGACCACCTCCCTGGGCCCAGTTTCTCGCCCTGAGCCATTTTTTGACGGTCCCGAGATCTGGCGAGGGCCCCCGGAAGCCGAAATCAACAAAAGAACGCCCGCTCCAATTTTTTTGGAGCGTCGGATCTCCGGGCCTGTTCCCCTGTCGGTCGTCCAATGCCTGGCCGCCAGCAACTCTGAAGCTGATGGCGGCGAAGCAAGCCGCTGCGAGGCGCCCCTGAAGATTCGCGGGTTGGTGGGGCGGCAGCAGCAGAGAGGAATCGATGGGCTCGTCGCCGCCCCACGTCGCCAGTAGCCATTCGGCCCCGAGGGGGCGGAAGTCCGAGGTGGATCCAGCACTCCACGATTCGGCGGCGAGCGACGGGGGGGAGCGAGAAGGAAAAGGCCTCCTCAAAAGGCGGTGGGACTTCTCAGAAGCCTTCGCGCCTTCTGAGAAGTGGCTTGAGCCTTCGGGGAAGGCTTAAGAAACTTCTCGAAGGCTGGGGGATTTCTGGGTCTTCTGAGAAGGCCCGCCCACTCTCAGATCACAGGAGCGACGATCAAAAACGGGTCTTACGAGAGACGACGTAGCGACCTCGCGCCGAAGCTCACGCGGCCCCCCAGCGCGGCGCGCCACACTGGAAACGAGGATGCGCACGCGCGACGTTTCGCGGGGAGCCCACGCGCCAACGTCGGCGCAGACGACCCCGTTTGTTTGCGTCGCTCCCATGGCGGAGGAGGCGCGGGGGGGGCGCCAGCGCTGGCAGGGCCCCAGTCGACGGCCTGGCCGCCGCGCCTGGCGGCGGGCACAGCGAGCCTCGGGCCTCGCAGCAAGGGCGAGGGGCTGGACCTTGGAGGACTGCCAGATGGCCCCGCGCAGGGCGCCCGGGTCCTGCGAGCGGCCGCCGGCGCCGCGCTCGGGACTGCACGGGGGAGGGCCGGGCTCGGACCCCCCGCCCTGGACCGGAAGAATGAAGAGAGCAGAGCCGGCGCCGGCAGGGGGGGGCCCGGCGGGGCCGCCCCGCGCGAGCGCCCCCCCCCTGCGCGGCGGCGTTACGATACGCCTGTCTGGCCGAGGCCCCGAGAGCGAGCGCGGCGAGGGTGCCTCGGTGCAGGGCTGAGCCTCGGAAGCGCTCGCCTCGCTGCGGGCACTGCCAGGAGGGGCGTCGTCGCCGCCACCGGGGAGATTGGCGCCCCGAGCGGGCCTGCCTGACAGGGAAACGCGCCGCTGCTCCTGGCGCTCGAGATCGACCGCCGCACCCCAGCCGTGGGAAATGCCCCGCCAGCCGAGATCAGGGCGCCCGAGCTCCACCACTCACACGTCGGAGAAAAGGAAGTTGCAGAGTGCCCTTCCAGAAGGTTCTGCCTCGGGAACTCCCGGCAGCACCGGCGAAGACAGTGGCGCCAGAGACGCGAAGTCGGCCCTCATCATGGACAGGGCCCAGACCCCCTCGAGTAATGAAAAAATCACGACGGGAGGAGGATGCAAAGCCGGTCATGGGGAAAGGGTCGGGACCTCTGGAGGGCGACGTAATGAAAAAATCATTACGTCGGGGGTCTGGGGGGGGGCGGGACAGAGCCGTCAAGGACGAACCCAGGCGGCGGAGGGCCAGCGAGAGCCGGCCCAGGGGGGCGACGCGGGGAGGTTTGCCCCACGGCCCGCGCGGGGCTGCCACGCAGCGGGAAAGCGGGCGGCGCCACCCGCCTCTGCGGTGGCGCCAGGGTCGGGGCCAGGGTCAGCGCGGGGCCCGGCGTCGGGCGCAGCGACGGGCGCGAGGAGAGCGGCGCCGCGACGAACGGCGCCGGACAGAGGGGGGCGGGCACAAGGGCGGTCGTCGGGAACGTCGCCGCGGAGCGGCCCGCCTGGGGAGCTGGCTGCGCGGCTAGGGCCAGGATTCGCGCCGGTGGCAGTCTTGGCGCACACTCGCCGGGGCCCCTCCCCAGGGCAGCTGGGCGCGCCGCCAAGCGCACTGGCGGGGCCGCTGCGCGCGCCGCCACGGCCACCAGGAGTAGCGCTGGGCCGGCCAGGGAAGCTGGCAGCGCCGACAGGGCTGGCGCTTGCGCCGTTTAAAACCTCGGCACAAACTCGCGGGGCCCCATCCCCGGGGGCTGCTGGGCAGACCACCAGCGAGGGCAAGGCGAGCGGGATGAGCCCAACGACTGCGGCCAACGCCAAGACCCGGCCCGCCCACGCAGGGGCTGCCCGCTGCGAGGGCCAAATAGACTGCGTCGCCCGCTCATGCAGGCGGGCCCCGGAGGGAGTAGCACGGGAAGGAAGGTGTCGGCGCCAAAGGGAGGCGTCCGTCGGGCGAGGCGACAAGGGGTGAGTCGCGCAATCCCCACCGGCCTCGGGTTGGCTGATCTCGGCCCTGCAGCAGATCTCACGGGGTGGACGTCGGGTGGACACGGGGTCGCGCGCAGGCTGCGCTGACGAGGGCGCCGTCTTTGGAGCTCCAGAATGCGCCGGCGAGGATGATGACAACGGTGATCCAGGCTGTGCTGACGAGGGCGCGGGCAACGGTGTTCTCGCCTGCGACGTCGAGAATGCTAGGGCCGGTGCTCCTTGCTGCCCTGGCATGGGTGCTAACGTCCGAGCTCGCGGCTGCGCGGGCGAGGAGGCTGACGCCCGTACTCCCCGATGCGAGGGCGAATGCGCTGGCGTCGGCGTGCGCCGGCGAGGATGAAGGCGACGGTGATCCAGGCCGTGTTGAGATGGGCGATGGCATCAGCACTCCCCGACGTGAGGGCGAGGACGCTGGCGTCGGTTCTTCCTGCTGCGCTGGCCGGGATGCGCGACGGTGATCCAGACTGCTCCGGGGAAGATGCCGGCGTCCGCACTCCCCGCTGCGCTGGCGAGAATGCCAGCGTAGGCGCTTCCCGCTGGGCGGGCGAGGATGCAGGCGACGGCAATCCAGGTTGTTTTAGGGAGAGATGCTGGCGTCCGTACTCCCCGATGCGAGGGCGAGGATGCTGGCGCAGGTGCATCCCGCTGCGCTGGCGAGAATGCAGTCGACGGTGATCCAGGATGTGCTGAGGCGGATGTTGGCGTCCGTATTTCCAGGCGAGAGGGCGAGGATGCCGGCGTCGGCGCCTCCCGGTGCGCCGACGAGGATGCAGACGACGGTGATCCAGGCTGTGCTGAGGAGTGAGCTGGCTTCCATACTCCCAGATGCAAGGGCGAGGATGCTGGCGTCGGCGCCTCCCGCTGCGCGGGCGAGGATGCAGGCGACGGTAATCAAGGTTGCGCCAAGGAGGATGCTGGCGTCCGTACTCCACGATGACAGCGCGAAGATACTAGCGCAGGCGCTTCCCGCTGCGCCGACGAAGATGCAGGCGACGGTGATTCAGACTGCGCTGAGGAGGACTCCGGCGTCCGTACCCCCCGATGCGAGGGCGAAGATGCTAGCGTTGGTGCCTTCCGCTGCGCCAGCGAGGATGCAGGCGACGGTGATCCTGGCTGCGCTGAGGAGGGCGATGGCATCCGCGCTCCCCGATGCGAGGGCGGGGACGCTGGCGTCGGCGCCTCCCGCTGCGCGGGCGAGGATGCAGGTGACAGCGATCCAGGCTGCGCCGACGAGGATGCCAGCGTCCGCACTCCCCGCTGCGCTGGCGAAAATGCTAGCGCGGGTGCTTCCCGCTGCGCGGGCGAGGATGCAGGCGACGGTAATCCAGGTTGCTTTGAGGAGGACACTGGGGTCCGCACTCCGATGCAAGGGCGAGGATGCTGGCGCAGGTGCATCCCGCTGCGCCGGCGAGGACGCAGCCGACGGTGATCCAGGATGCGCAGAGGAGCATGTCGGCGCCCGTATTTCCCGGCGCGAGGGCGAGGACGCTGACGTCGGTGCCTCCTGGCGCGCCCGCGAGGATGCAGGCGACGGTGATCCAGGCCGTGCCGAGGAGTGAGCTGGCTTCCATACTCCCTGGTGCATGGGCGAGGATGCTGGCGTCGGTGCCTCCCGCTGCGCGGGGGAGGATGCAGGCGACGGTAATCCAGGTTGCGCCAAGGAGGATGCTGGCGTCCGTCCTCCACGATCACAGCGCGAGGATATCAGCGCAGGCGGTTTCCGCTGCGCCGACGAAGATGCGGGCGACGGTGATCCGGGCTGCGCTGAGGAGGACGCCGGCGCCCGCACTCCCCGATGCGGGGGCGGAGATGCCAGCGGCGATGCCTCCTGTTGCACGCAAGCGACGGTGATCCAGGCCGCGCCGAGGACGGCGATGGCTTCCGCACTCCCCAGTGCGAGGGCGAGGACGCTGGCGCCGGTGCCTCCAGCTGCGCCGGGCGAGGATGCAGGCGACGGCGATCCAGGCTGCGCCGACGAGGATGCCAGCGTCCGCACTCCCCGCTGCGCTGGCGAGAATGCTAGCGCAGGCGCTTCCCGCTGCGCGGGCGAGAATGCAGGCGACGGTGCACTCCCCGATGCGAGGGCGAGGATGCTGGCGCCGGTGCCTCCCGCTGCGCCGCCGAGGACGCAGCAGACTGTGATCCAGGATGTGCCGAGGAGGATGATGGCGCCCGTATTTCCCAGCGCGAGGGCGGGGATGCTGGCATCGGCGCCTCCCGGTGAGCCAGCGCGAATGCAGGCGACGGTGATCCAGGCTGTGCTGAGGAGTGAGCTGGCTTCCATACTCCTCGATGCAAGGGCGAGGACGCTGGCGTCGGTGCCTCCCGCTGCGCGGGCGAGGATGCAGGCGACGGTAATCCAGGTTGCGCCAAGGAGGATGCTGGCGTCCGTCATCCACGATCACAGCGCGAGGGTTCCAGCGTAGACGCTTCCCGCTGCGCCGGTGATCTGGGCTGCGCTGAGGAGGACGCCGGCGTCCGCACTCCCCGATGCGAGGGAGAGGATGCTGGCATCGGTGCTTCCTGTTGCACCAACGATAATGCAGACGACGGTGATCCAGGCTGTACTGAGGAGGATTCCGGCGTCCGTACTCCCCGATGCGAGGGCGGGGATGCTGGCGTCGATGCCTCCCACTGCGCTGGCGCGGATGTGCGCGGCTGTGATCCAGGCTGTGTAGAAGAGGACGCTGGCGTTGTTGTTCCCCGCTGCGCTGGCGAGGATTCTGGCATCGGTGCCCCTAGCTGTACTGGCGAGGATGCAGGCGACGGTGATCCAGGCTGCGCTAACGAGGATGATGGCGTCGGTGATCCAGGCTGTGCTGACGAGGGTGCTCGCGTCGGTGCTCTCGGCTGTGCTGGCGAAGATGCCGACGTCGGCGCACCTGGCTGCGCAGGCGAAAATGATGGCGCCTGGGCTCCCGGCTGTGTAGGCGCAGATGCAGATGTCCGCGCTCCCCGTTGTGAGGCCGAGGATGCCGGCGCCGACGCTCCCCGCTGTTTAGGCGAGGAGGCTAGCGGCGGTGATCCAGGCTGTGCTGAGGAGGACGCTGCCTTCGGAGCTCTCGGCGGCTCTGGCGAGGACGATGGCGACGACGATCCCGGCGGCGCAGACGAGGATGCTGGCATCGGTGCTTTCGACCGCGCCGGCGAGGCTGATGACGTCGGCACTCCTGGCTGCGCTGGCGGCGATGCTGAAGTCCGAGCTCGCGGCGGCGAGGCGAGGATGCTGACGTCGGTGCTTCCCGCTGCAGCCGTAACGATGCAGTGGACGCGGATCCAGGCTGTGCTGAGGAGGATGTTGGGGTCCGCACTCCCCGATGTGAGGGCAAGGACGCCAGCGTGGGTGCTTCCCACTGCGTCGGCGAGGATGCAGGCGACGGTAATCCAGGTAGGTTGTGCTAAGGCGAAGGTGCTGGCGTCGGCGCCTCCCGCTGCGCCGGCGAGGATGCAAGCGACGGTGATCCAGGTTGTGCTAAGGAGGATGCTCACATCCGTGCTCACCGATGTGAGGGAGAAAATGCTGGCGTCGGTGCCTCCAGCTGCGCGGGCGAGGATGCAGGCGACGGAAATCCAGGTTGTGCTAAGGAGGATGCTGGCATCCGTACTCCCCGATGTGAGGGCGAGGATGCTAACGTCGGCGTTTCCCGCTGAGCGAGGATGCAAGCGACGGTAACAGGCTGCACTGAGGAGGACGCTGGCGTCCGTACTCCCCGATGTGAGGGCGAAGATGCTGGCGTCGGTGCTTCCCGCTGCGCCGGCGAGGATGTGGGCGACGGTGATCCAGGCTGTGTAGAGGAGAACGCAGGCGTCGGTGTTGTGCTGGCGGGGTGCTGGCCTCGGTGCTCCTAGCTGTACAGGCGAGGACGCGGTCGTCGATGATCCAGCCTGCGCTGACGAGAATGATGGCGTCGGAGATCCAGGCTGCGCTGAAGAGGGTGCTGGCGTCGGTGCTCCTGGCTGCGCGGGCGAAGAAGCCGGCGCCTGGGCTCCCGGCTGTGTAGGCGCGGATGCAGATGTCCGTACTCCCCGTTGTGAAGCCGAGGATGCTGGCGTCGACGCTCCCCGCTGTGTAGTCGAGGAGGCTGGCGGCGGTGATCCAGGCTGTGCTGCCGAGGATGATGGCGTCAGTGCTCTCGACGAGGACGACGGCGTCGGGGCTCCTAGCAGCGGCGGCGAAGATGCCGCCATCGGCGCACCGAGCTGCACCACGTCGCCCGGCGTCCCGGTGCCCGCGACGCAGGCGGCAGCCGCGGAAGCGGCGGTGCCAGCGGCGCCAGCGGCGCCCACGGCGCCCCCAGCGGCGCCCGCAGCGGCGCCCGCAGCGGCGCCCCCAGCGGCGCCCCCAGCGGCGCCCCCAGCGGCGCCCCCAGCGGCGCCCCCAGCGGCGCCCCCAGCGGCGCCCCCAGCGGCGCCCCGCTGGCGCCGACGCCGGCGAGCACGCCGTCCGCCGCCGCCGCCACCGCCGGCGAGGCCTCAGCCGCGGCGGCACCAGCCCAGCAGCGGCCACGGCCGCAAGGCCAGCAGAGGCGGCGGGCCCGGGGCCCAAGCGGCGCTGGGCGGCGGCAGGCCAGGCGGTGCCGCGGCGCCAGCGGCACGGCGGGCGGCTGCGCGCCGCTGCCACCGCCGCCGCCGCCGCGCTGCGGCGGTCTCCACCCGCGCCAGGCCGGAGCGCGCGCAGGAGCCAGGAGCGTGATCGACCCAGACAGCTTGAGTCCAAGGCTACGGCGAGAGAGACACACACACTCACGCACAAGTCATCCAGCCCCACGAGGCATGACCCCCCACGCCGAATCTCGCAGTTCATTAACGACGGGTCGCCACCTGTTTGGTCTGCGGCGACTTCTTGCGAAGGAGCGCAGGAACAGAGAAGAGGGAGGGGAAAAAGGAAGCGGGGAGGAGGGAGGCGAAAGAAGAAAGGAGCGAGGCGAACGAGGGAGCGGGGAGGCGGAAGAATGGAGGACGAGGGAGGAGAGCGGAGGAGGGAGTGAGGAGACATCAGGAAGAAAACTCAACAAGGACACGGGCAGGAGATGAGCAAGAGAAAGCCTACACCTACGACGGAGCGGCCGTCCTGCGCTAGCATGCTCCGAACTCCACGACGGCATGGTGGCCATTGGTGGTGAAGCCTCGCGGCCGCGAGCAGCAAGACAGGGCGTTGAAGTGATCAGTGACACCGCTCGCTGTTTAGAACTGGTTGGTTGCACCGCGCCCACAGTAGACTTCAACATTCGACATGCCGAGTGCGAGCACGAATACCTCGCATTGCCCCCTGACTCGCAGCTTGAAACGCATGAACACGTTCTGGCGGAAAAAACAAGGAATCCTCATTTGCCACGCAAGAGATGCGCTCCGCGCCCTAACTCGCACCGCGTGCGTCGCGCGCCATCCCCACAGCACCGTCTGTCCCCAAAAGCAATCATCAAACCCATCCCAGCTCCCCCTCCTCCTCCGTTTCTTCCTCCTCATCGTCCTCTTCCTCCTCCTGATCCTCCTTCCCCCTCCTCTTCGACCGCCTCTTCCTCATCATCATCACCGGTATGGTCATCATCATCATCATCATCATCATCGTCATCATCATCATCATCATCATCATCATCATCATCATCATCATCATCATCATCATCATCATCATCATCATCATCATCATCATCATCGTCATCATCATCATCATCATCATCAACAACATCAACATAAGCATCATCACCATCATCATTATCATCATCACAACCAGCATCGTCATCATCATCCACCCATCCATCCGTCCATACATCCATCCATCCATCCATCCATCCATCCAGCCATCCGTCCATCCCTAAGATCCTTCCTCCCTGTCGCACCACCAGACGCGCCTTGGAGGCGGACTGGGGGGTTTTCCGGATACGACACTTTCACCTGCCCTGTAGGGCGGGCCCCCGGTAACGAAACTGCACGCTCCTGGGCGGGGTAGGGTATCAGGCCCCCATCTCGGCCACAAATAGGCGATCGGGGGTCGATCCACCCCCCCCCCTGAGTTTCCCCCCGTAACGTTGCTACTGACCTCCTACTCCCCAGCCTTCGTGCAATAATGCGTCGGGCCCCCTGGCGGCCTTTCGGGGCGATTCCAGCACCCCCTGGAACGCTCTCGACGAAGCGCAAGTGACAGAAACCAGCCCGAGCCTCGAAGGAAGCACACAAACACGGAAGCACGCCCGCACATGGGACCGTCCAAAGTGCTGCGGGTGCGGCGCCGGAACGCCGCACGTCAGTAAGCGATGCCTGAATCATAAGTCCTGCTCAGTTTTGTTCCAATGCTCTTGTGTGGTATATTCCAATGTATACCCATAGGACCACCCTACGGATGATGTGGAAGTTGGGGGAAAACGGGAGGCGGTCGATTTGCAATGGCTATGAATTCCTTGCTGGTTTCTTCAACTGTCCTACCTACCTCTCGACCTGTATATATCTATATAAATATATGTATCGGATCATCTTTTTATAATACCCATGTATCGATATATCTGCCTATTTATGCACCTGTATATATACAGTGCATATCTATATACACATATCAAATTATTTCTACATATCCATATAAATATATCGTTCTATCCGTATATGACTATACTAGAAGCATCGCGCGCGCTTCGCGCGCGCTGAGGTTCTAGCAGGCCCAAAGCCTTGACGCGTTCACTGCTCTACTGAAGTAGTGGACCACAGATGGTTTGAACGGGAAGTGAAGAAATGCCCATAACGCTGAACGCATTATGGGCAATGCGAAGTCCATGCGTGTCAATTCGAATTCCAGGAGGCTTTCGGGGAAGATGGCTGCGTGGGGGGGCGGAGGCTTGATAAATCGGGTTCCCAGAAGGCCTTCTGGGAACATGGGGTTTGGGGGCGTCTGCATGTTGGGGCGTGCTGTAGTCGTTATGATGTCGTCGTCGCCTCTCGAGGCGCGCCGTCGTCGTCGTCGTCGTCGTCGTCGTCGTCCTCGTCTTCGTCGCTTCGGCGTCTTCGACGTCTTCGTCGTCGTCGGTTCGAAAGGCACTTGGGGCAATTTTGTGCGAAACGATCCGCGGAAGGCCGCGAAAAGGCGATCCTGCTCCCACTAAACTTCCCAGACAACTCTCCCGTAGCGCGATGGTACTTCGGAGCCTCCGGAGACTCTCGGGCCCATGATGAACCATATCCCCGGAAGGCTTTCTGGGACCATGATTTGTTGGGGTTTGTTGGGGGGCGTCTTGGGCGTTCCCTGGGGGCCCTTTGCGGTTTTCTGGGGACCTCTTGGGGACCTCACGAGGCTTCGTGGGAGCCTTTTGGTGGCCTCCGGGGGCCTACTGGGGGCCTCTAGTGCCAGAGACTTCGAAGTATCTGTTCGCGGTCCCCATCTGGGCCCCCTCTTGGGGCACACTTGGGTTGTCTGGGGAGCCTCCTGGGCTGTCTTGGGGCCCTCTTCGGGGCCTCGTGGGTCGTCTTGGAGCGATCTGATGGACCTCCGAGGCCGTGAGGGAGCGCTGGGAAGCGGGAAAAGCGAGAACGCTAAAATCCTCCCAATACCATGGAACAAAAAATACATTTTGCCTCACAGGGCCTTCTTGGGAAGCCTCTTGAGTCCGCCCTGGAGCGCGTTGGAATCCTCGTCGGCCGTGTTGAAGGCATCTTGGGCGTCTTCGGGGCCTCTTGGGACCATCTTGGGCCCTCTTGGGACCCACTTGGCCTGTCGTGGCCTGTTTCGGGGCAGGCCTGGGCCGTCTCGGGAGCTCTGGGACCCCCCAGAACCCCCCGGAGGCGCCCATGGGGGGTACAGGCAGCATCCCGCCCCGAACCCGGCCTACTCCGATATCGATACTAGAGCCGACCTGAGCCCAAAGTGGTTCGGTGCACGCGTCGCCGCCGTCGCCGTGGCCGTCGTCGTCGTTCGCCGATCGGCGGCGTCAACTGTTGCCATCGTCGTCGATCGTCGTCGTCGTCGGTCGTCGCCGTCGACGACCGTCGTCGTCATCGTCAATCAGCGTCGCTGATCACCGTCGCCGATCGTCGATCGCCCTCGAGCCCTCCCCCCCACTCCTCCTCCCCTCCTTCTCCTCCTCCTCTTCCTCCTCCTCCTCCTCCTCCTCGCCTTCTCCTCCTTCTCCTCTTCCTCCTCATTCTCCTCCTCCTCCTTCGCCCTCTCCGTCTCCTCCGCGCGGAAGAAATCCAACAACATCTCGCGCAAATCAACGAACTGTGGCCCTCCGGCCCTTTTTGAGTGTCCTCTTCGGGTCCTTTGGGGACCGTCCTGGGGCCCTCTTGGGCGTCCTGGGATACTGGAAATCATGTTCCCGGAGAGGCTTCCGGGAATATGATTTCAAACGAGGCCCTCTTGGGCCTCCCTGAGGCCGTTTTGGGGTCTCTTGGGCTGTCTTGGGGCTCCTCGGGGGCGTGTGGGGCACCGTGAAGACGAAGCAAGCGAGTATGCCGAAAACGTACGTTTTACAGGGGGAATGGGCCGATTTCTGCCTCTTGAAAGCCCTCTGGGGGCCCTCTTCGGCCATCTTCAAGCCATCTCGGGCCCTCTTGGGGCGCTCTTGGGCGTCTTGGGGCCCTCTTGGGCCTCGCTGAGGCTGTCTTGCGGGCCTCTTGGGCTGTCTGTGGGGCCTCTTGGGCCGTCTTGGGCGGGTTCGTGGACCCCACAGGACGCCCGGGCGGCCGTGCCAACCGGTGGCACCACCCCACCCCGATATATATATATATATATATATATATATGTATATATATGTGTATATATATATATAGAAAATAAATATACACACACACACACCAGACTGCAGTGGCGCTTCGCGCAATGCACCTTGGTCCTTGAAATTTGGTATGCAGGCGGACTAGCAGGAAGGTGAAGCCGACTATTTAGCGATAACTCCTTGTTGCCTTTTCCAGCATCGCCGCTAGAATAATGATATCGGGACAACCATCGGGACAACCATCGGAACAACAATCGGGACAGCTCGGGACAACCATCGGGACAACCATCGGGACAACCAACGGGCACACCAACGGGACAACCATCGGAACAACCATTGGGACAACCATCGGGACGACCATCGGGACAACCATCAGGACAACCATTGGGACAACCATGAAAACAACCATCGGGACAAACATCGGGACAACCAACGGGCACACCAACGGGACAACCATCGGGACAACCGTCGGGACAACCGTCGGGACACCCATCGGGACAACTATCGGGACAACCATCGGGACAACCCGCGGGACAACCATCGGGACAACCATCAGCACATCCATCGGGACACTCATCGGGACAACCATCGCGACACCCATCGGAACAACACCATCGGGACCACCATCAAGACAACCATCAAAACAACCATCGGGACAACCATCGGGAAACATCAGAAAAAACCATCGGGACAACCATTGGGACAACCATCGGGACAACCATCAGGACACCCATCGGGACAACATCGGGACAACCGTCGGGACAACCATCGGGACAACCATAGGGACAACCATCGGTACAACCCATCGAGTCACCTATCGGGACAACCATCGGGACATCCATCGGGACAACCATCGGGACAACCAACGGGCACACCAACGGGACAACCATCGGGACAACCATCGGGACAGCTCGGGACAACCATCGGGACAACCATCGGGACAACCAACGGGCACACCAACGGGACAACCATCGGGACAGCCATCGGGACAACCATCGGGACAACCATAGGGACAACCATCGGGACAAACATCGGGACAACCATCAGGACAGCCATCGGAACAAACATCGGGAAAGCCATCGGGACAACCCATCGAGTCACCTATCGGGACAACCATCGGGACAACCATCGGGACAACCATCGGGACAACCATCAGGACAAACATCGGAACAACCATCGGGACAACCATCGGGACAACTATCGGGACAACTCGGGACAACACAAACCATCCAACCATCGGGCCAGCCGGGACAACCCTCGGGAAAATCGGGACAACCATCGGGACAGCCATCGGGACAGCCATCGGGACACCCATCGGGACAACCATCGGGACAACCATCGGGACAACCATCGGGACAACCATCGGGACACCCATAGGGACACCAATCGGGACAACCATCGGGACAACCCATCGAGTCACCTATCGGGAC